CAGGCAACCAGTGTAAAGAAACCAAAACTGGAGTAATTCTCTCTCTCTTCTTTGTGCGAGTCAAAAGTCTGGCAGCAGCATTTTGTACTAATTGAAGACGAGATAATTGAAGGGAAAACACTTCAGACAGGGGAACTAGTTCATGAACAGAAGGGTTAGAGTGAGTGGGTTTGGGGATACCAGCGGTGCGTGCAGACACCAGCGGTGCATCCCTCACACTGGATACCAGACTGGGATACCGAAGGACTGACCTTGAGAAACTGGGTGTGACAGACAGGACGTGACATGACTCTGGATGATCAGCTGTGATGCAACGTGATTCTGGATGAATAACTGAGGCGTGACGTGACTCTGGACGAACAGTTGAGACGTGACGAGATTCTGGATGGACAGCTGAGACATGGTGAGACTCTAGAAGATCAGCTGTGACGTACTGAGGCGTGCCGTGACTCTGGACGAACAGTTGAGACGTGCCGAGACTCTGGACGGACAGCTGAGACATGGTGAGACTCCAGATGATCAGCTGTGACGTGACGAGACTCCGGATGATCAGCTGTGACGTGACGAGACTCCAGATGATCAGCTGTGACCTGACTACACTCATGAAGATCAGCTGTGACTTGACCAGACTCAGGATAATAAACTGTGACTCGATTTGACTCATGACGATCAACTGTGACTAGACTCGACTCAGGAAGATTAGCTGTGACTACCCTTCACCGTAGACTGAACATTTGTCAAAGCTTCTCTTAACATATCAAATGATACTTGCAGCCTATCCTTCTTCCATTTTCGTTCAGCCCTTCTGCAAATTTTCCTTGATGTACGGATTTCATCATTCATCCACAGCTGTGATTGTTTTTTTTGATTCCCTATATGTTAAGGGAGCAATCTCATCTAAAATTTCTGTACAAACCGAATTAAAATAATTTAAATACCCATCCACACTAAGATCCGGAGAAGAAAACTCTAAATCATGACAGAATGATGAGGCAACAAAGGCCTCATTAAATGTATGAACAGTTGAAGTATCTATAAAACGAGTGAAGTGGCCAGACCTATTGCTTACTGTATTCAGCGAAGGAAATGCAGCATCAAAACAAACTAACAGATGATCAGAAAAACAAGCATCATTTACCACAACATTAGTAATAGAGAGACCCAAAGACAATACAAGATCAAGAGTATGGCCCGCTCTATGAGTAGATCCTGACACAAACTGAGTAAAATTAAATGAATCGATCAACTGCAAAAATTCACTAGCCAATGGCTTAGAGGGACAGCACACATGTATATTAAAATCACCAAGTATAAGCAGTCACAAAAAGGAAGTCCAAGTTATTTGATGAACAGTAATCATTTAAAAGAAAAATCCATATGCGGCACCAAACAATTCCTTTGGGAGGCCCAAAATCGTTTATACTTAATCAGAAGTCCTCCTCGTTTCCCACGTTTTTTATGACATTTCTTCCTTTGCTGGGAACACCGTCGCCGAAGCAACTCCACAGGAACCAAAAGCAACACCGCGGAATGAGCGAAACTACGGTGACGAGCGTCCCGGGATCCCAACGCCAACATAGACGTCCGAATGCTTATAAGAGATTGACGATCGTAGCACAACATGGCTTTACCACATTGCAGAGGGCCGCCAAAAGCACCAGGGTTGAACAGGTACATAATCGACATAAACAGGCAAATAAATTCCAAAGTCTGACGGCATGCCGGCAAACACACTTGACAATTCTACTAGTAGCTGTTACTAGTGTGTCCTCCAAAAATAAGCAAAAGTCCTGAGCAAAAATAAGTGTTTGCTCATGCAAAACATAAATAATTATTTGCTATATGGTTATGCTGAGTGGTTTTTAAACATTTGCAATGGCTTCTTTATTACCGGCATCAACTACAATGATTTTAGCATCTGAAATGAGTATGCTACACCACTAGTAATGATGGTCTAAACAAATGAAAACAATGACAGATTGCTTCTACAGTTAGAAAACGTTCTAGCTGCTTTAAAACAATTGCTGATTGTAAGATTTCTATAAAAGAAATGAATGAATGCTTTTATTAATCACGGATGCATTAAATTGATCAAAAGTGACAGTAAAGACATTTATAATGTTACAAAAGATTTCAACTAAATGCTGTTCTTTTGAACTTTCTATTAATCTGTGAATCCTGAAAAATTAAATGCATCACGGTTTCTACAGAAATATTGCACAGCACGACTGTTTTCAACATTGATGATAATCAGAAATGTTTCTTGAGCATCAATCAGCATATTATACTGATTTCTGAAGATCATGTGACACTGAAGACTGGAGGAATGATGCTGAAAATACAGCTGCGCATCACAGAAATACATTACAGTTTAACAGAGATTCACATAGAAAACAGTTACTTTACATTGTGTACTTATTTATTTTCATTGTGATATGACCAGGAACAAATAATAGATTCATGAGACCAAAGATTGCCTTTTAGATATACTCAAAACGGATGATATCTCATGACATCTCATGATATCCTCATAGGAATAAATTACATTTTAACAGATATTCACATAGAAAACAGCTATTTTAAACTGTAATAATATTTCATAATTGTATAATATAATAGCTGTTTTCTATGTGAGTATCTGTTAAACTGTAATGTATTTCTGTGATGCGCAGCTGTATTTTCAGCATCATTACTCCAGTCTTCAGTGTCACATGATCTTCAGAAATCAGTATAATATGCTGATTGATGCTCGAGAAACATTTCTGATTATTATCAGTGTTAAAAACACTTAATATTTTTGTGAAAATGTGATGCATTTGATTTCGCAGGATTCACAGATGAATAAAAAAGTTCAAAAGAACAGCATTTATTTGAAATAGAAATCTTTTTTAACATTAGAAATGTCTTTACTGTCACTTTTACTCAGTTTAATGCATCCTTACTGAATTAAAGTATTATTAAAAAATGAATAAATCTTGCTGACCCCAATCTTTTGAATGTCAGTGTTCTGATTTTTGCATCTGTTTGTATGACTCTCATTTACTGATGATCTAACAGTGTTAGTTTTCTGGGCAGGCTCGTCCTAAAGGAGAGGGTCTGACGCCGTATCAGGGGAAGAAGAGGTGTTTCGGCGAGTACAAGTGTCCCAAATGCAAGAGGAAGTGGATGAGTGGAAACTCTTGGGCGGACATGGGTCAGGAGTGCATCAAATGCCACATCAACGTCTATCCTCACAAACAGGTCAACAGATGCTAGAAAACAGCCCACGTTATAGATCTTATAGGTCTTATTTTAGTAGCATTGATGTACTGTTATAGTTTCTGTTCATATTTTAAATGAGATTTTTGTTTTCACTTTAAGTTTTGATCATGTTTTACTAATATTGTTTAGTGTAATTTGATTTATTTTGTTTGAAGTACAAAAATATCTTTGGTTTTATTTTTACTTAACTATAACAACCCTGGCTTAAAACAAGATACTTTAGCAAAATGACACGAGATTTAACAACTGAATTATTGTTTACCCCATTGGTAAATGATTTAAAGGGGTCATCGGATGCCCATTTTCCACAAGCTGATATGATTCTTTAGGGTCTTAATGAAAAGTCTGTAACATAGTTTGGTTCAAATTTCTCAATGGTAGTGTAAAAAACATTTTTTACCCTGTCAAAAACAGCTCTTTTCAGAGCAAGCAGTTTTGTAGCATTTTCCTTTAAATGTTAATGAGCTCTGCTGACTCCGCCCCTCTCTTCCGAGCTGCTCTCAGAGAGACTGTTTACTTTAGCTGCATTCATCGTGAAACTTGCTAATTAGCATATTATTAAGAAAGGCAATTTGCAAAGATTCATTAAAAAACCTTACACTCGCTTCTTCTGTAGCTGAAGCTGGATCACAAATGATTCGCGCGAACATAGATGCATTTATGTAGATCGGGGACGAATTCCCTTCAGAAACAAATGTAATCCACTGTGTCTTCAGCGGCTCAGATGTCGGGAGTAAATGACGACTGCTATGTTCATTATTACATCCAACAACAAAACACCTCAATCGCTCAGGAGTCATTCTTATCTACATCTGCACCGGCGGTGAAACAATGGCGGACTGATGACAGTCACTCAGGGGCGGAGCTAAGTCCAGTCCAGTCTGTGCTGAAACGTTACTGTCAATCAAACTATCGTGGGAGGGGCCTGTCTGTGTGATGTCACCTGAGATCGGCTCAATTTGAGAAAGGGGAAAACATTTAACCAGATAAAAAAAAAAACACTGGGAGGATTTTTATCATTATAGGGTGGTTGTGTACACACACTGCCAACACACATTTCAGTTCAAACAGCTTGTAAAGTCCTATGACCCCTTTAAAGTGTAAATCTAACAAAACGTTTCTGCTTAAAACAGGAAAAAAACAATTGATCAGTTTAATGCAATTTAATGTTTCTTGCTTTAAGGATATTTTTACTGGGAAACAAGACAAAGATACTGATTTGTGAGCTTTGCTTTTGTCTCGTCCAAATATTCGCATCACTGCTGATGACTCAGGAACCTGAAGGGCCTCTGGGTGAATGTTTGGATCCTTTCTGCTCGCTTTACTGAAGCGTCTGTACAAAACGAGCTGGGAAGCGTTAAAGCTGGAGAGCATGTGTTAGTTTTTAACTCCAGCAGGAGAAGGAGACAGTTCTTCACTGGTAGATGTAACAGTGTTGTTTTGGCTCAAGATAAAGCTACTTTGCTGGTTGTTTGGCAGGTTCTGAAGTTCTGAAGCTGCTAGAAAACACTCGATGAAGCTCTCTTCAGTGCTTCGGACTTCTCTTGTTCCTTGAATGTTCACCACATGTTCGTCTGTATTGCCATTTGCTCTTTTGTCTGCTTTTTGACCTGATAAACTCTGTCCTGTGCTTGTCAGCGTCCTCTGGAGAAACCCGACGGTCTGGACGTATCGGACCAGAGCAAAGAACATCCTCAGCATCTGTGTGAGAAGTGTAAGGTGCTCGGATACTACTGCCGTCGCGTTCAGTGACCTCTGACCCCCGAAGATGCCCGTCACGCCAGCATCGCAGTGTTCACCGATTCCTCCCTGACTGTGCTGCGGGTAAATATGAGTATGCAGGTTGAAAATTAATTTTTGAATAATACAATAAGTGGTTGTTAATGTAAACAGCGCACCATAATTAAAACTCGTGTTCACAGGAGACAGTTATGATTAAATCACTTACCCACCTCGATTAATTTAGTTCAGTGCATGACTGTGTAAACAAAAAAATAATAATTGTCTCCGTTATTTTGAAATGATTCTCTGTGGTAATCAACATTAGGCCACAACTCACTGCTGATATTTTATGAAACCTTTAAATATAAAAAATTTCATTTAAATCGACCCTCAATTCAGCAGCTTTTAATGCACCGTTCAGACTGATATATATGTACTTAATGGTGCAAGTACTGGATGTTTGATATCAGGTTAGTCGCTGTGAATTCACATGATGTGAAAATGTGAAATATTCTTCTAAAGCATTTCATAAAACACATTTCAGGGCAATAGTTTACAGGCAGGGCATCAATGTCAAATGAATTTGATGTAAAGTCTGGACTAATGGAAGCTGTGGACTGTCAATGGCTCATTCCTGTTCTATTTCAAAAGAAATACTGGATATCTACACAATAATGAGATGATCGGATGTTAATCACCGAGTGAGAGATCGACACAGAATCCACTGACAATCAAACACTTACTGATGTTTGTGCTGCTGAGTTCCCTCCAAAATGATGTCACTTCCTGTCGGGTGATGTCGTCGAGGAAATAGAATTTGTGATTTTATGAAAGACTAACAGGATGGAAAGTGATACCGAGGAACTATAAATTGACGATGAATTAAAATAATGTTGTCGTCATTAAAATATTTTGATAATTTCAAAATTTTTTAAAGATTTAATATCCACCCCATTATTAGCTTCATTGAGAAATTGTGCTCAGTGAAAACTGTTATGATTTGCATTTTTAAATAGTGATTTTCCAGCATATATGATGGTCACGAGAACAGAACAGGAACGACCCGATCAGCCTTCTGCATATTAAATGCATTAATATCTCGGATTCTGATGCTGTATAAGCTACATGGTTTGTCAGTGTAATTGCTCAAAAGGCTTTTCAAATAATTCTGACAATAGGATGCCCTTATGAAAATTTTGATAGCTCTTATTTTCTACATTTTGCATATTGTGTGATTTTATGACGCATCACTAAAGTGCCTGTTCATCACAAAGATGTTTGTGTATTTGGGTAAAAACATGAACAATAATAGTGACAGCAATAGAGATCAGAACATTAACAGTATTAATACTGTAGGTTTACTCGAAGGTACTTACACAATGTTCGTTTATTCTGAATGAAGTCTGTGCCTTTGATTTTGAAAAATGCTTTATAATATCTCATATTCAATCCTCTGAAAGATGCAAAAAAAACACTGCCTGGTCTGAATGGATAAAACAATCAAATGTTGGAAATGAAGACCAAAAGCATTATTTTTTGGTGTTTTTAAAGATCTCTGGATGACTGTGCGTGTGCATGTGTGTTGTGTTCGCTTATAATTTTCAATTTTCAAATGCAAAACCAATTTGTAAGACTGAAGTGCATTTGGTTTTAAAGCGGCTTCAAACACAAACTCGAGAAATGTGAACGCAGATTCAGTTGATCTAACTGGTTCAAGATCTTTTTCTTAAAGCACTTGATGTACATGAGGGACAGTAACTCAGACTGTGAACCAGAAATGTGCCTTATACGCTCTCATGGCTCTTTCTCAAGAGCAGATCAATCTGTAAATACAAATAAACCACTAAAACATCATGCTCCCGGCTTTATTGATCAAACTCATAATTCATGCATGAGAACCAGAGGTCTCAATCTAGATTAAACACTATTATTACCTGAGAATGATGTTAAAAATGACATTTATTCACAGTGGATGTTACTGTAAAGGACTATTGCATGTAAAAACTATCGTTATGACAATTTTTACGCATCCTCTTGTCATTTCAAACCCATAGATTGTGTTATTTTTCCTTGGAATACAAAATCAGTTTTTCTGCACAAAAACATTTAATAGTGACCGCAGCTTTAAAATTGCATGACTTTTGAAAACGATAATATAATAGCTTTTATGCTGTTTTTTGGCCTTTTGGGTCACTGTGAATTGTTGCTATATGGAAAAGAACATCTTGCACCTTTTGTGTTGCATGGGAATTTTTAACATCGCACAGCTTTGCAGACACGAGAGCGAGTAAATGAAGGCTATTCCTTTAACCCGAAAGTGTCCGAGTTTCACATTATGGAGCTTGAGGCTCATCTGAACATGGAGTAGTCTGTGAATCAGCAGCAGGACAGTAGAAACGACTGCTGACTCTACTGGAGCTCTCCGCAGTCGGTGACGCTGATTCTCTTGGCGGCTCTTCCCGAGCGAGAGCCGAGCTCCTCCACCTTCCTCACCACATCCATCCCGTCTTTAACGCTGCCGAACACCACGTGCCGCCCATCCAGCCTGGAAAACACACACACACACACACTCTCACATCATCACATTCACCGGAAGTGACAGCGGATTCAAGAAGACGATTATCGTACCACTCTGTTTTGACGGTGCATATGAAGAACTGGGATCCGTTGGTGTTGGGGCCGGCGTTAGCCATGGACAGGATACCTGAACACACAAAGAACACATTAGGAGTAACTGTATGGGTCATAACTAGTTTTCAACGGTGTTTAAATGGCTGACGCTGATTTAAACGCATATTTGTAAGTCATCATCATTTGTAAGTCGTTTTGGATAGAAGCGTCTGCTAAATGACTAAATGTAAATTTCATACAAACACATTATTACATATATTATACAATATTTACATCACAAAAAAGATCATAATAATTAAAAGTATTCTTTATTATAATTATAAAAATTAAAACAATTATAATTATAAGGTAAAAATAAGAAAGCAGTGTCATTTTAGTATTATTTATATACCATTACTGTATGTTATTATTTTAAGAACAAAATTGTTGTTTAATATTAATACACACACACACACACACTCTCACATCATCACATTCACCGGAAATGACAGCGGATTCATGAAGACGATTATCGTACCACTCTGTTTTGACGGTGCATATGAAGAACTGGGATCCGTTGGTGTTGGGGCCGGCGTTAGCCATGGACAGGATACCTGAACACACAAAGAACACATTAGGAGTAACTGTATGGGTCATAACTAGTTCTCAACGGTGTTTAAATGGCTGACGCTGATTTAAACGCATATTTGTAAGTCATCATCATTTGTAAGTCGTTTTGGATAGAAGCGTCTGCTAAATGACTAAATGTAAATTTCATACAAACACATTATTACATATATTATACAATATTTACATCACAAAAAAGATCATAATAATTAAAAGTATTCTTTATTATAATTATAAAAATTAAAACAATTATAATTATAAGGTAAAAATAAGAAAGCAGTGTCATTTTAGTATTATTTATATACCATTACTGTATGTTATTATTTTAAGAACAAAATTGTTGTTTAATATTAATACAACTAGGTTTTTATATATTATATATTATATATA